GGTATTGATATGGTAGGGTGAAATTGGATATATGCGATATGAAATGAAATAATAAGAGTACCGATCATTGATGAATTGCCCTAAAAGTGGTATAAGTACCTTTTATATGAAAAACATTAAATATTAAATTTTGTTTTTATGCTTTATTTGTATTGATGATACAAGGATAACCTGGAAAAAAACTATTTGGAATAGAAATATTGTACTAATGCAGATTATTTTTGAATAAAAGTGGTGGTTATGCGTCGAAAGAGAGAGAGAAAAACAAAGAAGATTGCATGACAGCAATGACTATACAGAAGATGGCAGACGTACTGCCGAACCATGTATGTTTCAATAGATTTTATATAATCAAATCAGCTAAACCTTGCCTAAATGGTATTGAGTTTTAAAATTGTTGTGGTGTTTGTAAAATTGTAGAACTGTTTAATTGATACTAAACCAAGCACAAGGTGAACTTACTGTAGACTTTCGTCGATGTTGTCAACATGACGTCGTCAGTTGACATAAAATTATGCTTGGTTTAACAGTTCTATACTTATATTGTTAATATTTACATGTGGGGGTCCCATTCCCCCACCCATTTTCTTTGTTTTTGGTACGTAGACCTATGTGTATTTTAAATATATGTATAAAATAAAATGAAATGACCAAACATGGAAGATTTTTTGTCAGCTATTGCTGTAATTAGAGAGGGTTAAGACAGGTTCAAACAGGTGCAGAAATGTCTCGCTACACTGCAACACGTTGGCTAGACATAGACTAAGTATTGAGAAATGTGAGACGATGTAGAAATATTCTATAAAGGTTAATTATATATAATTAAGTTTAACTTTGAATATGTTATTTTATTTATTATGTAATCGCAGAGACAAATATCAGTATTCCCTATTCTGGATGCTATATAATAATAACAATAATAATATGTCGGTCTTAATATATAGCGCTTCATGCAATGCTTCACGCAATAGCGCATAATGCATCGGAAAGCACTATAATACATAGTTTACCTCAGACCAGTTACCAATGATCCATACAGGTTCAATAGGACATGTAATATCTAAATTACAAGGTTCAACGTTGATTGGCTTCTCAGCTCCTAATCTTAGGCACTCTTGGTCCTCAATCACACTTTGCTCATCATATCCAAAACTGCGAATACAGAAAACTGATCTCATCCTTGTTCCATTGTTGCCGCACGTTACACTACATGCTTGCCAATTCCCTTTCCACCACCTACAATGACAAGAAAGTTTAAGATACATATCGTAACTACGGCGTGGATAAATCATATCTAAATATAAGTAACAATTTATTTACTGAACGCAGGATTTTTACCTTGTACTGCATAAAGCTGCAAGCACCAAAGGTCAAGAGAGTAGGGGGAGGGCGAAGTCTTGAACAGAGGTGAAGAACAACATTTTCATGCGCTGGATCATTTTTGCACAGCTTAACTAATGACGGCGCTAAAAATATCCCCACGAAGGGTCCACATTCCTAACTAGGCCACACTCACCTTGGGCACACCATGTTCGGGATTGAGGTGAGCAACGTTTATAAGAATAGGCATCTGTAAGTGCCCTGAAATCAGATATTCCAGTTATAGGCAAATTTCAGGCGTGAGATGTATAGGGCTCGATCCCCACCCCTCCAGGTCGAAAATGCATTCAGGATCTGAATGTATCCCTTTTACTTGAGAATACAAGTATTTCACGCCGAATACGTAGGACTTGGTAGGCCTGAAAATGACACTATAGAGATTACCATATAGAGCTATACCATGTATTTACCGACGTCTCCTTGTATATTTCCTCGACGGCAAGATATGGACTCGCGTGTTTCTTATCGGGAAAATACAAGTTACTTGTTGGAAATATTAATATTTTAAACGTTTCCATGTATCTACTTTAAGTCATTGTGCGAATGAAATAAAGAATTTTTACAGATTTCCATAATTAGTGGTTTTTACTTTTAATCGTGGAAGCGGTTTGGCGAAGCAGGAACAGTTTGGTTTCCCAACCTCGACAGGGGCGGATCCAGAATTTTTCAACTCTTATACACATCTAGATGTGTATAAGAGACAGATTATATTCAGAATAGATAATTGAGAGCGCTAATTTCAATATATGCCTTGAAATTTTAAAATTTAGTGGCAAAACGTTGGGGGGGGGGGGGACACGTGCCGCACGTGACTGGATCCGCCCCTGCCCGAGGTCGGGGTGTCAATCCCTCGCTGTGCATTTCGCTTGTGCCGTTGAACAAGGCACTTTATCTGCATTGCTTCTCTCCACCCAGGAGTATAAATGGGTACCTGGTGGGGTTGCCTGCTACTGCGCCAATATGGCAGCAACACTTAAGCATGTGGACTCAATGACCAGGGACAACAAAGCGTTTTGTAACCTAACGGAATAGGCGCTATAGGCATACAAATACTAAAATAACAAATAAATAACAATAGCAACTATAAGGAAAACCGTTCTCTTATGACATAAATTAATGGGCTGTGTGAGTAAATCAAATTTCATTTAATCTATTTGAACAACATTTTCACAAAACAGTAGGCCTACCATAAAAATATTTTGAATGTAATGCAGAAGGATGCAATGGCATCCACTGCATCCCATGACCCGTCCCAGGTGATATCCGTCCACGAACGGATTATTAATTATAAACATGATAAGTCTTGTATACCTAAGGATCGGATGCTAGTCCTTCAAAATTACTATCTTCGTTCACAGATGAGAGGTAAATTAAATCAAAATACTCACGTTGCAGGACAATCGTTGGTGTTACATGAGCGTTGATTATGATCTGGTTTGGTTGTTTGGTTACAGTAAAAGTTTTCAACTAGTCCAGCCAGCTTTTCCACACATATCACCTCTGATATTTGCTCTCCTATGTGTATACAATTTTAAATTTATTATAACGCTTACTTTGGACGTCTTTTATAACTAAATATCAAGCAAAAATTGGATCTATTTTAACAAGGGACCTTTATTGCATCTTAAATAAGTGGAAATACCCAAATAAATTGTGATTTGTATCTATAAATTCATTCGTTAAAAAAATATACTTACCACCGCCACACGTTGCTGAACAATGTGTCCACTCGCCATGTTCCCATTTAAACTCAGCTATTCTCTCTACATCACTAAATTCTGTATTATTCTTTGGTATTGTGTACTCCACAGACAAGTCCGCATTGTATTGCTGCATTAGTACCTATCAATACATTTACACTAGCTAAGTTAACTTTCAAGTAAATTCTCATGTATACAATCATTAAATATCTTTCTATAAAATCTATGGCCTCCATTATTCTCAATAAATGTATTGAATGGACAACATGGTTACATATAAAAAAATAAATGAACGAACGATCAATCGATCGACGATCGCAATTAAGCAATCAGCCAATAAAACTATATCAATCAAACACTCAATCAGCTAATCAATAAATATTAACGAACGAACGATTGAACAAACGGGCGACTGAAATTGTACGAAATGAAACGAATGATATAAAATGAAATGATGTTAAATGACAATAATTTAAATAAAGTATCCTACCTCGATGGTGAGAGGTTCGGTTAAAGGTCCAGTTGCCATAAACTTTTCTAGGTTATTTCGTCTCTTATAAACTACTGTGGTACCCGCAGCTTTATAATAGCCTTCACGTTTGATAAACCAATTTCCATTCAAAAAATAGGCACCATCTTGTCCTTTTAAGGCCAAATAATTAACTGAAGCTGCAACCTCGTGGACCAAAATGTTTCTGGCACCCACCGGGATCACTACCACTTCCTTATATCCTTGTGAAAAAAGAAAGCCAGGTAAACTTAAGAATCTTAAATAATCTAAATGTTACTGGAGGTACCAATCATTGATAAACATTAATGGAAAGATGTCTCGTCTGCCTCATCAAATTTTACACCAAGTTAAAATGTCAGTGAAGCAGGTGCAATCGCAACATCAATTGTCGTATTTACTTCAACTATTGACTCATCATGAGTTCTATAGAATTAATTTTATGAGCGTTTGTAATTTAGTATTAAACAAGGTAAAATACATTAAATTAAAAAAAAAAACCTTACTATGACATTTTGGACGTTCAGTTTTTAAAATTCAAAAATATTTACATAATAATTAAAACAGCAAAACAAATTCATTAAAAAGAACATACAGTACTTCATAAGATGTGCATAATATGACGTCCTACATAATTTGAATATTAATAAACGGTAATTAAACTTCTAACGCGTCTAAACTAGCTACAGCTAGGTTAAACACAAAATTACCGTGAAATGCATGAACAATTTTCGATCCCGATTTATATCATTGCGCAAGGTAGACAAAAATACACTGACAGGGACGTAGCCAGGGAGGTCACTGGAAGTGTTTTATTATTTTTATTATAATTTGTTGGTTTAAAAATCAGGGTACACATTTTTTAAATTCAATAATTTCTATGCACAAGTTACTAACTTGTATGCTATTGCAAAATGAGCAATTTTATTTCAAACTTATTTTTTATGATTTTTTGACATTAGCAAGGGACAATACAGCTTTAATAGCAATATAATTAAAAACAACTTTCTAAAAGCTTGCAAAAGGATAAAAACCAAACTGAACCACACAATATCACATTTCTGTATCTTAAAAGACATGGCCTTTTTTTGTTAATTTGTTAAGTAAGTTTGATAAATCCAGCCCCTAAGCGTTATAAACCCGAAAATATTAATTTATGTTATGTATAGTGAACAATTGATTAATCTAACGAATATTCCACTGGGTTGCTATCAGGTTAGCGGGTGACTTTTATTTATGGACGTCTATGGTGGGTTTCTATCAGAGCACGGGTCACAAACCTATAGTAGAAGGAGTTAATTAGTTACGGCATATACGTGACATACCGTCTTATCAGTTGACAATAACTATCACATAGCGTAGGACAGCAAAATGATTTATAACAAACCATGTTCAATTTGTATTTGTAAACGTTGAGTTGGTTTTCATGTTTATTTTTTTTTTGATTAATAATTTTCTTTAGTATGATTTTATTTTTCATACATATTTTTTACTTTATACTTTTTTAATGAATTTTAATGTGTTATCATTATCATCATCATCCTTATCATTATCATTATCGATATTTTTTTATTTTTTATTATTATTATTATCATTATTATTATTATTATTATTATTATTTTTATTATTATTATTATTATTATTAATTTTGTTGTTATTGTTGTTGCATTAGCTGGCATTAATATCTAACATCACAACAAAATTTAATGAAAAATTGCCATAACAACTGGGTAAAACGAATGGGTGATCTTACCGACACCATATTGGGTGATGTTACTTTTGATGGTTTCACACGTGGATCCGTCACCATGACACACTCCACATTGGTCTTCTATTGCATTTGAATCTATTTTATTGTCACATCCCACTTTCTGAGTAGACACAATTCAAAACCATTAAAATATTTGTCAATGTTATATAATAGAACGCAAACGCCAATTAATAGGTGTATATATATATATATATATATATATATATATATATATCTTTATATATTATATTTGTCTTTGCTAGTAAGCATTCTTACTTAAGATAACAACTCAGCTCTCTAAGTAATTCTTATTTACTATTTTTGTTTATTTCGCATTAAGTTTTAGTACCGCCCATGCTTTGTTGATAGGCCAATTAAATTTCAGGCAACTTGTAGCTAAGTATCTGTAATGTATATCACTCACGCTGATGAAGTGCACAGGAGTGGACGAAATATTCGTGTTTAATAAATTATGTTCAAAAAATACGTCGACTTGACTTTTGTTTTCATTGTCATCACTTTCACCAATATATATATATATATATATATTGTTTATATTATATATTCATTATATTATATATTGTTTGTTTTGTAAAGAAGTTATCACTCTGATATGAAACAATGTGCTTCATCATTTCGCAATGATACATCTCATATTTATTTATTCCGGCCAATGACTAAATTTGCCTGCATTACATTATAAAAAACATATAAATACAGGCAATATAAAACATATAAATACATTGAATAGAGGGATTGGAATTGAAATTGATTACTAAATACATTTACATTACACAATTTAAAGTTCTATATACAAATTCATCAAAATTACCACATGAATAATATAAATAATTATCAAAAAATGGATTCTTAATTTAATCCTTTATATATATATATATATATATATATATATATATACACACACACATATATATATATATGCATATATATACATATAGAAAACATGAAGAGGAAAACATATATATACATATATTACACATATATATATATACATATATATATATATATATATATATATAAATCAGGAAAGCCGTTAACACTGTTAAATTAAATATAAATCATCAAAGAAATGTAAATACAGTGTTCGAATAAAGGACATAATACATCGTGAAGCATAGCTCTCAACGAATGTAGTCCTATAAATAAACGAACATTCGTTTATTTACAGGACTACATTCGTTGAGATCTATGCTTCACGATGTATTATTATGTCTTTTATTCGAACACTGTATTTACCTTTCTTTGATGATTTATATATATAAGCCTATTTTTATATTTACTACTACTACTACTACTACTACTGCTACTGCTACTGCTACTGCTGCTGCTGCTGCTGCTGCTGCTACTGCTACTGCTACTGCTACTGCTACTGCTACTACTACTACTACTACTACTACTACTACTACTACTACTACTATTACTATTACTATTATTATTATTATTATTATTATTATTATTATTATTATTATTATTATATTATTATAGTATATAATATGTGTGTATAGAGTTGAGGTTGACTTTAAAAGGCTACCTGGCAGATTCCACTGATGCATATGCCACTTTTTTCAATGCCACACGATGTACCATCGACAACTTTACTTCTTAGAACTTCCGCATGCTTCCTAGATTTTGTCGGTCTACATACTAACGCACACTCTTGGCCTTAAACAAAATATCATAAACAGATTCTCTGGAATATTGTTTCTACATTGTTAATCATTTATAACAGAACTACATTCATTGAGGGTCTAGAAGGAGACACTAACAATTATTTTAGAATCAGAAAATGGAATGTATAATATAGTACAATACAATAGCCATACATTACAGGCAATAGTAACATTACATAATATTATTTTAAACATTAAAGCATTAAAATACAGCAATTTTAATGTTATAATTTAAATAATCCGAAGCTTTTTTTTCTCTCTTATTCTCATGATTGTGCAAATGTTTCTTTTTTAGTAGTTTTGTAATTTTGGCCATAATTATATTGTTTGCTCTTTTTTTATGTAATTTAATTCGCAATTCAGCCTTTTGGCTGTCATATTATGTTTTTAATTCTGTTCTGAACAAATACCACTACTGCATATATAATACATATTTATATTTCTTTTTATACAGAGCAGCATAGCTCATAGACCTATGTTTAGACTTAAAACCTAATGCGAACAAATACAAGAAACTATGAAAACATGCATTCTTTAATCCCTTGGAACATTAATCAAAACTGATCTCTAAATTGAAAAGAACACCATGCGAACATGTAAATTTAAATTGACCAAAATATTGGAATACCTTTCTTAATGTACGGTTCCCATCTAAAAAAATTGTTACGAATTCTTTGATTGTTGAAAAAACTACACTGTACTTCTCGAAAATCACGTGATCCCGCCGGACAAGGCTGTTAATAGTAAATACAAACAAAATTATTTGAAAATGTCAAAGCTGACTAGAAACAAATGAAATCGAATGAAAATTATTTTATTGGATTGGATTTATTAGGTGTAAACACCAAGGATAGCCCACGAAAGTCTAGAAGACTTATTTCCCGTGGGGTCCTTCTGGTGGTGATTGAGCAGTACACAGGAGACAATAACCTATACTCTTACTTTCCGAAGAATGTACTGCGTTCTTTAACGTGCACATGGGCCATAAATGCACGCGGGACCAGTGGCTTAATCGTCTCATCCGAAAGACGGTGTGCTATTGTAACTTGTATTTCAGCCCTCCAGCTGAAACACAAGGAGAGGCATCGATGGGAATTGGACCTAGAGATCTCCACGGTTCAAATTATACAGTAATACTTGAGGTACCGTGTATGTTGGAACTGGTTTGTCGTATGTATCATTTGTAAAAAGGCCTACATTGTATGTTAACATTGTGAAACAGTGTAATATAGACGAGCTAACTTACCTGTGTATTACACAATGCGTACCTTTCTCGTTTACCTAAGCAATATTTACCCCCTTTTGCCGGCCTGTGAAACAACAGACAAAATATAACTGCCACATGTAAGGAATTACACCACACTCAAATGGTATATGAAATAATAAGCAAATTAAAAAAATAAATAGGCTAAATAAATGCATATTAGTAACTCATACTTTGTTATAAAATAATCAATACACAGTTAAGATTTGAATTTTTGCCAGAAGGTGATCATCTCGTTTAAAGTAAAAACATTCAGATAGAACTCAGATGGAGTTCTACAGTGCTATTGATGTTATTATTAGTTTTGCACAGGGCAAGGATAGTGTAAGTGTGTGCGTTGAGGTAGAGACACTGGTGTCGTGACTAAATGTCTATAGGGGTGCCGAGATCTGAGAAATTGTGGTCAACGATCGGCAAAAAAATGTCCATAAAATGCAATTAACTTTTAATGTTAATAAATTGTAGCCTATTTACGGTTAGAATATTCTCACTATCATCTAATGAAAATGTCTTATAAATTAATTACAGTATTAATATCGTAAAGTTTATGATTGAAAGCGAAACTGTACTCTCTTTTTAACCATTTATTGTCATTTGTGTTGATAGCTGTTTTAAAGACAACTAAATATATTTTCCAATGCTAAATTTATACGTGATCCTAGTGACCCACTGCTTTGTTATACTGTAATTGTAACCCACCTAAAATCAAAGGGATCCCGACCCAGGGTTTCGGTTAGAAAATTTACTGTATCTAATTAGGCCTATGCTATTAGTAAACTTGTAATACCTGGGATTATTGCATTCCCTGTGAGTAGTTGATACACCTCCACCACAAGTACGAGAACAACTTGACCACTCCGACCACGTACCCCAGTCACCATCAATGGCTACCGCCCTCTCTGACATTTCTACACAATGTCCGTTCATACACCACTACAGTTATACAAAAATGAACTATCATTTTAATTTCTTTGACAATCATTCACGTATATTTTAATGTTTTTGACACATTAATTTCTTCTTAAAAGTAAAAAAAAAAACATGTAATTTACAGCTTGAATTGGCTAAATTGCATTTAGCTTGAGGTTGAGGCTCCTACATAAGGGCAGAGTACAGTGTATGCGCCAAAAAGAGGGATTAATTTGAAACAAAAAGATATCAGAGGAAAAATAAATGTAAAAGAAAAGAATAGAAAAATTATAACAAAATTTAGCAATAGACAAAAGAAGACATTTAATTGGATAGAAAATGCGAGTATTAAGTCTAATGTGGAAAACACTCGCAAGCATGCAGTTACAATTCAAGCATGTAATTCCATAATCTATGAGGAGCGAGCTATGTAACAAGAGAGAATGGAAAATCTGAAATTGAATCTGTTAATAGGCCTAATATAACATTTCTTTGAATTCAACATTACTTATCTTGGATCATGGATAACATTAAGAAATGTTGTCAACCGACTTTAATACCGGTATGTGAAACAGGTTCACTGTTCTGTCTGAATCGAAGCGACCATGTTTACAAATCAGTAATAATACCGATCATGCGTGTATCGTTTCAGGCGCGAAAAGCCTATGCGCTCTGAGCACCGAAGAGTCTCCGACATACCCAGGCTCACGAAGGGGGTCGGGTTCCGATAAATTTTATGATTGTATGGAATTGGAAATCATATTTTATGATAAGTAATTCATAAATATTAAATTAATAATAATAATAATAATAATAATAATAATAATAATAATAATAATAATAATAATAATAATAATAATAAAGATTTATAAAGCGCACATCTCCACCAATGGTGCTCAAGGCGCAGAAATTAGAAATTAGAATTGTATATATTTTGATTAAATTGCTCTGTAAAATGTTTACTTTAATACAAAACTTAAACTGATTAAAGAAGACAGTCTGTCATTCTAAGTACTGTCTGTGCACACGTGTTCTTGCACAATGTTTCCAGTGGCGGCGCAGAGAGTCCACGACGAAAGGGTTCACACTTCAGCCCCACCATCTTTGGAGCAAATGTTAAGCATGGCACCTATACGTGCACTGAAACGGCACTCTCTAACTAAGTCTGTTATAGAGTTGTTTGTAATTTTTGTAGTTTAAGTTAAGAACTTGTTTCTGAAATGAAAAGATATATATTAAAATTAAGTCCCTGCATGATTTGTTGGTATAGCCGTAGCGTTAACAAATGGGTCTATAGGCCTACTAAATTAAAATGAAACTTAAATAGCAGCTGTATTTGGTAAAAAGGCAACTGCATAATTACCAAGCCAGTGTTTACCTTGTTTTTACTTAAATAGTTGTATTTGGTAAAATGGCAACTGCATAATTACCAAGCCAGTGTTTACCTTGTTTTTACTTAAATAGTTGTATTTGGTAAAAAGGCAACTGCATAATTACCAAGCCTGTGTTTACCTTGTTTTTACTTAAATAGTTGTATTTGGTAAAATGGCAACTGCATAATTACCAAGCCAGTGTTTACCTTGTTTCTACCGCATTTTGTGCCAGGTGCAGCTCCGCCCATTTTTGTGTGACATGTACCCGTAGAACACCAAAGAGTCCGGCATATATCCTCCTTCATTAATTAAAAACATTTTAATTTGAATTACCTCAAATATTGGTATTATTAGCTATATGACCTCTAATTGTAGTACAGTAGTATTAGTAATACCACTACTACTACTACTTCCACTGCTGCTGCTGCTGCTGCTACTACTACTTCTACTGCTGCTGCTGCTACTACTACTTCTACTACTACTACTACTAGTAGTAGTATTAGTAGTAGTACTATACTCAGTCTGCTGTTAATACGCCCACTACCACTGCTATTGTTACTGATGCTACTGTAACAACATTATGAATATATTACGTTTAAACAATTATCAGAAATAACACAGGCGTATCCGTATTCATACGTACGTAATTATGAGCACTTACCGGATAACATACGGAGACCGATGGTCCATATCTTAGCCTACATTGATGTTCAGCATCGTACATGACTCCTGGTGGTACATCTGGGTAGTCGAAGTCATGCTTACTCGGTTTATCCAATAAGCAATCTCCCCATCCTCGACTAAAAACGTGAACATTAATTATTGGTCTTATTTTACTGTATTTACATCTACGTGCAAGTCCAGTAACACATACAGTGGCGGATCCAGATTTTTCTTCCACCAGGGTGGCGCGAGTGGCAATCGAGGAAGTAAGGGGTAGACCCTATGGGAGAGGAAGGTTTTAGGGTGTTTCCTTACTCAGTGCGTGGGTCTAGGTGATATGCCCCCTCGAAGCTTCGAAGTTTTAGTCATTTTAATGAATTGAATTGAATTTATTTTATTCATTATTCAAGTAAAACAGGATCGTCAAACAACATTAAAACAACAGGAAACAAGAAAGGTAAAACAACCTTGATTAATAGGATAAGCCATAAAAAGTAGCAACTATACTTATTTCCATATGGGTCCCATAAAAATTATTTCAAATTGCACAGTCAACGGAGAAAAGAACAGAAACAGACAACGTCTAAAAAGCAATAAAATGCAATGAAATATTCAGAAAAAAACGTTGAAATGCAAAGATTAAAAATTACACGACGCAGTGAATAAAATGCATACAATGATAAACAATGCACACAATAGAGTAGACTGGGTTCCAGTCCCTAAACTTTGTCTTAATCAGTAAAAAGCTGGAAAAATCGATTATTGCGCCAATGGCGTTCCATATTACGTATTTGCTCATAGTATACTTTTTCTTCGATTAGCATAAAAAAATCTACAGTATTTCGCATCAAAAAAGTTTCTCGACATAAACTGACGCTGGTGGCGCTTTCCCAAATGTGCTAATGCTACGAAAAATCAATAAATTAGAGACTTGTGGCAAGTCTAAAAATAGAGAGGAATTTTAGCAGACGTTTTGAAATTTGAGATGCAGTTGGTAGCCTTTGTGTTATTAGGTAGATCATTCCATGCCTTGATACTAGTAATGTCTTACCTAAATGATTTAAAACTTGGTTAGTGATTTTTTTGGTTGTTGCTGGAAAGGAGGTGGGGGAATACCCCTTTTGCCACCCCTAGATCCGCCACTGACATAGGACCTAAAAACCCGAGATTAAGCAGGAAATCCAAAACAAAAATACAGGGACAAAAAAGAAAGAGCGAAAGTGTAAGAAAAGAAAAGGCAAAAAAGATGAAAATACAAAGTAAAACTACAAAATATTATGTCACGGAACATCGCAATGGAAGAAGGCATATGTAGTATGGTAAGTATACATTTATGTGAGAACCGGAAAGCGTATTTTACAACAGATTAAAGCAAATACCCACGACAGAGGAAAGCACAATATTTCTATAAATTTAAATTATGACCTTAAAGCATTATGAATTCATTATTATAAACTGTGCATTTATGCATTGACTTTATGTGAGAAGCATACTTACTCCAAGAAAAGAGTGATGTAGTCGCGGCTACAGGGAGACCAAATCAACGGAGCAACGGAACTTGGCATAGTCCCATTCATGATATAATGGACGCGCTCTGGTGACCATTTACAAGCGTTGCCATCACCATCATGTTTCATTCCAAGACTTAAAAATAAAATTAATAATAGTAGTAGTAATAATAATAATATAATAATAATAATAATAATAATAATAATAATAATAATAATAATAATAATAATAATAATAATAATAATAATAATAATAATGATGATGATGATTTTTGAGATATTTAGGTATGGGACGTCAGAAATTTAAATGACCCTCAAATGTACAACCTAAACTGGATCGTCACTAACACATAATAATGTCTTTCTTGTAACTTATTAGTTACTTTCCTAAAAGTTGTATTCAAATCAGTTGAATATTTAAAAAAAAATATGTGGTGTAGAGTGTTTGCCCTAAAATTCCTTTAATTGGTCCTTACATCAACGCCCCGCTTTAGATTAACACTAAATATAAGGAGGCACATCTTTGATATATGTTCTATGCTTTCGACAGATTTTGGAAAAGAGCCAACCATTTAAGATGACTCAAGTGCCACGCGGACTAACCCAATGCAAAAAGATAGGGGAAAAGTTAGATGTAGTGGTACTCACTTATGTCCAAGTTCGTGAGCGATTGTGAAAGCTACGTTTAATCCTGTATCATCGTTGATGTTACTGCTTTTAGCGGGATCACACATTGCAGCAATATTTGACAAACCTAAAGTTAGACACGGTCTATTTGATCCTGCACAAATGTCTTTTCTGTCAACAAAAATAAAATATACCATTGTTGTTTTCCAGTTATTTCGCCAATATCAGGGTTGTAGCTGTAGAAAGCTACGGATGGCTGGTAGACATTTAAAGGGTGAATTAATGATTTAAGGATAGGCAAGCGGGTTAATTAAGCATAGTTACCAACCGTCTCGCATCGTGCGGGACGGTCCCGCATTTCAAAGTGATTTTGGATGAAACACGCATTTTGCAGAAACACATGCGTGATCATAAATTTGTCACGCATTTAGCACAAGTCTATGGGTGATAACGAATTATCACGAATTCAGTGGAAAATGTATTTAAAATTAGAAGAAATTTGTTTTATTAACGATATAAAAATGGTCATACAGTAACTTGAGTCATTAGAGAGCTTTTGTTATCTCATTCGAGAAAAAATTCACCGACAAAATTTCTCTTTCTCTACCAAAACCCAGCCAACCACGCACTTAGAATCTATAAGGCTCGGGCGGTCTTGCGAGCAAATTGCCCCAACTGTTGATTATGTGATTAAAAGGCGGGGTTTTACACCACCGGGCTTCCGCCCCTGGGCTCCCCAGTGGGGGCCCTAGCGGCCCTCGCCCCCCCCCCCACAAGTAAACTGGTGTAGTCACGCATTTCAAAACCTCTGGTTGGTAACTATGATAAAGGTGGTGGTGGGCTATTTGCTGTCCTACATGTGCAGAATAGTGTAAAATCCATTGGACAATTCTGTTAAGGCGTCTGCGTAGATGGAGATCCCGGGTTCAATAAAAAAACGTACGACTATACAAAGAAGAAACGTATACTTTGACATTATAGACACTAATTTAATTGATCGAATGTTTGAGCACTCATATGCTCTTCTTCAGCCATGCGATCGCACCCCGTAAATTGTTTTAGGAAAATAACTGTTGTATAATTGTATTGTTGATATAAACATAGTACCGGTAAGATTTTTAAGGTACTGTATGTTAGACTGAGGGTGCAATTTCCAGGCACCAGAGGTCCATATTCTCAAAATGTTCGACCGTCAGCCCCAACCGTCGTGGGGCTGAGGTGCTGTGGACTCTCACGCACCCCCTACCGCCAAATCCTCCATCCGCCAGAGGGGTAGTGGCGAGAGTTAGGGAGTTATTGTTGGTGCACCCGGCGATGTTAACTGGTAACAAACCCAAATTTGTAAGATAGTCAAAGAAAATGACGAATCGAATTTGTGTGTTATTTATTTAATTGACAATAAAGAATTTTGGACATTACCGGTACGGCATTTTCTTTCCAACCTCTGGGATCGGAATGCAGGTTGAATCTTTCGACATTTGCCTTCAACCTTTTAGATTTCATCTCAAGACTATTATTTTGCTTATTATTTTCTTGAATTTCATCACAGAGACTTTCTCATCATGCTATTTAACTCCGTTTTACTGTACATAATCATTACACACCTGGTAATTAGGACGGCTACATCGTGATGATTCGGGTGTTCGTCACTCTCCATATTGACACTTTGTTGCCATGAGGAGAAACTATCCAAAGTTGGTCTGGCGTTGTGAACAATTCGCAATTTGTCCTACAACAAATCAATTAAACAGTTATCATTTGAATGAAGTGCCACAATTGACATTCTAACTGTATTGAATCTTGATTAGATAATAACAACACAAGCAACACAGTGTTAAGGCTAAATAATAGAAATTGCATAATTTGGATCCCTTTTTAAAATGTGGACCCATTAGAACAATTGTGTGGGATTGTGTCCCAACTGTCCCAATAGCTGGCTACTTGTTCACAATCTGTAAAATCCTTCTCTTCCCCCTCCCCCACCCCTCTATATCAAATTCCTAAATCCGCCACTGACTGTAGTATTTCCTCCATCTATGAAGTCCCTCCTTGGCCTCTCATCAAATGCCTAGATTCGCTACTAAAACCGTATGCATCTTCAGAAATCGATTAAATATAACCTTAAATTATCAAAAATGCATGGGCTCCACCACCTCGATCCCAGCAGCAGGGTTTCCCCAAGCGCCACCTCCCCCCTCCCCCATCTCCGGCCATATAGAGGTGACATAATCATAATTTTTTTTTACCTCAGGCCCAACCATGTGGATCTGAGGTGTTATGGACTCTCAAACTGTAAAATCTCCGTTCCCTTGATCCCAGCAGGATGCCCTCCCGCTAAGCGCCCTCCCGCTAAGCGCCTTCCCCAATTTTGGTCCAATCTCTACAAATTCGCACCCACCCAAAAAAAAAAAACCTGCGTACGGACCTCTACTACTACTACTGCTGCTGCTGCTGCTGCTACTACTATTACTACTACTAATACTAATACCGTAATAAATAGATATGGCTTAATGATCCTGAGACCTTACCTGATCTTCAGATAGCAGCATTACTCGAACAAGTACTATATTTACAACGTTTCCTATGCTGACATCTCGATACATTCCAGTTACCTAAGTGCAACAAAGAGTGCCGAGTTAAATCTATTAATAGGTCTTAATATTCAAGCCATGTTTCTAAAAATGATTGTCCCGAGCTTTAAAAAGTATTGTCCCTGGCCGGGTTGGTTACGATCAGGCCCGATCCTCCCTAAATCTCCCTCTCTTGTCGGAACGGCGCACTCGGTTGTGCATGGAATATTTTTTGTATACTAAAGAACCCCTCTCACAGATTACATGGTCTTTTTCACAAAGCAACTGCGGTCCCATACAGTCAAAGGGCTCCCAGGATATTTGCTCTTCCTAAGGTAAACATCAAGCGCTCAAAAAATGCCCTTACCAACGTTGGCCTTTTAAAAAACTGGTAGTATTTTTCCTTGTCTTGTTTTTTACGCCCTTATAGTGATAATTTAATTTGCTTTTTACTGTGTATCATTGTAAATGATAACAGATAATAATGAGATAATGATTTTCTATCTTCTTTTTTCTTGTATTGGTGGTGTTCTTGTGATTATGGGTTTTGAATTCTGCTTATTTATTTATTTTTAACCAAACTGATAACAATTTATATATAGAATTTTAGATATTTAGAATTTGCTTCTACTTTTTAATAAATTTTATATTTTTTTGTAAATAATAATAAATTTTAATTAATATGAATGCATTTTTGACATTTAAAAATTGCCAGTTCTTGTGATTAGGATTTTTATAAAGTTTTTGTAAATAGTAATTATGGATCAGTTTATTTTTGTATATATTATGATAATGACATTATTGATTTTAATCGGCTGGTTTTTTTTATTATTTATTCTATGACTGCCTTTTTATTGTGCCTTTAGTTTTATTTCCTTCTCTGAATATTTTGTATTATCCAATCTGTAATGCAATTGCAATAAAGTGAGTTATGTTATGTTATGTTATCTAACATTAACCAGTTTTTGTTTTTGTTTTTGTTTTTTGCAATTAACTAATAATTTCAATTATAAATTCACATAATAAATACTGATAATCGGGGGCATTAAGTACAAATTTATGTAAGCATACAATTGTTTTCGAATTGCGGGTTTAACAAAAGAAAAAAAAAACATTCAAGGTTCTAAAATCATTATCTTGCGATTGAACCAAATGCTTCTTAGAAAAATTCAGGTGCTAAGATCTACAGATAAATATGTTAAGGTCATGGTCCCATTTTTAGGTAGGTATAAAAGTTGGTATAGCTTCGGAGCATGGCTTTAATATTTTGTTTGAGTATTATACAGGAGATGCGCTCAACATGTTACTTCATCTTACAACTGCCTTACAGACGGCATCAATCTTACTGGTAAACACGGATGGGGTCAACTCTGTCAAACACGGGAGGAATCAAGCACTGGATAACGAAGGGACAGATATTGGAAAACATAATAATAGTAATATTATTAGCTCAAAATATGCTAATTAAGGTAGAAAAGTTAGAGACTTTTTAATGTTCATTAATCTAAAGCTATACGGTAGTCGTTGCATTTTTGGTACATTCTGATCCTTCAGTCCAATGTTATCATTTGGAGAGGTCAGCCAACTTCATCTGGCTTTTACAAAAATAGCTTTGCTTTACAGCATACATAAATTTAAAAGATTACTTTGAAAGCAATTTGCTGGAAAACACGAATTTACGAAAACTTCCAGAATTGAATCTGTGTCACTCTCTGTATGCTGTCTCTTATACACATCTAGATGTGTATAAGAGACAGCCCCAAATGTTCAGGTCCCAAAGTGCTCTCGTATTTTTATTTTCTGTAAGTAAAATAATTAAAATAATATGATGATATTATGATAATGTTATATTAATTTATATTCAAGTATTTGTTGTGTATATTTTAATTAATTTCCATAAATTTTAGTCTGAAGGATCAGAAGCAACAGAGTTTCTTCAACGACTTTGTCCGAATGAGATGGATGTTGATGTTGGCACACTGGTCCACACACCAATGCTGGATGAAAATGGTCACTTTCAGAACGACTGCAGTGTGGCTAGGATGGAAGAAAACAGGTATGATGCAAACACAATGCTGGTCTCCCTCCAATGAAAGACCTCTCCACTTCTTCTTCTTCTTCTCATTGCATAATCCCCAAAGGGGCAAGCAACAACTGTACAGACTCTCAAATTCAGAAGATAAATAAATATAAAGGCAAACTTATCAGTTTATGTAAGTATACCTAATTTGCTGTTATTAATAAGTTATTAATAAATCAGTGTTCTTAAAGTCTACTATTGAAGTTGTTTTATTTTTTTTATATTCTGTCGGAACACACGTGGAACACGAATGAAATATAGGCCTATATATATATATATATATATATATACATATATATATATATATACATATATGCCTCTATATATATATATATATATATATGTATATAGGCCTCTATCAGGGATGTTTTGAAATGTGGGTCAGGTACACACCAGAGAAAATGTTTGTGATTAAAGGACTATTTTGAGTTTAGTTAAAGTACTCAGATAGTTAGCCTCGTCGTAGGTTATTTGACCCAAACCGATATGAATCTCTCGTAAGTAATTATCGACGGCGTCGAAATGTCTAATGCGATAACGAACATTAACAACATACTTAACAACACTTAGATCCTTAGATTGTCTGACTTTAGTACATAAAATAACATATAATTTGTATGACAGGTAAGGAATATCTTTTTAATAATTATTATCATAGGCCGTATGCGGAAGTAATATAAAAATAAGTTTTACAATAAAGTAACTGCAGCTATTGACAAAGCCTAATTAATCATGTAATAAATTTCAAAAACGTATAATAAAAGTGTATAACAAAGCCCTATTTTATAACTTACTTTATTTAACTTTTACTGACATAAAATTTAAGAAGCTATGAGATAATGTTGAACTTGAATATGAGGTACCGGTATGGTAATACGAAGCGAACCATATTTTTGTCTGGGGATGTATGGCGAGCCGAGTTGTCATTTAATCGTAAATAGAGATATCTCTATTTATGATTAAATGACAACTCGGCTCGCCATAGGGATGTGTGTTATTCAGTAAAGCTGGGTACAATCGCTACACGCTATCGCTGACAGCTTTCGGTGATGCTGATTGGTCGGTCGAATCGGGGAGCCTTTCCGATTGCATCGGGAATTGATACTATACTCAGTACAAGAATTGCACTAAAAACACAGTAGCGACAATTTTTATCGATTTTAACGAAACCAGGCTTCAGTATTAATGAATTACCTGAAAGTAATAAAGTACTAAACATACCATGTTCATAACTGTTAGTATATAGAGCTGAATGTCGCCCCTGTCGTGGTAGTAATCAACCATGAGCGGATCTGCTACTACCAGCACTTCAACGTTTCTTTCCAAACTTGTGGATCGTTTATGACGTTCATGTGTTGGCGCATCATCAGTCGGACCACCTGAGAATAAACGAAATTAGTTAAACTCGCAAGTGATTTTGTTCATCATTACTATTTTTTTAAAATTTTTTAACTGCCTAGAATATGAAATTTTTTGGTAGGCCTATGACCATGACCTACATTGTTACATGGGCCTTGTTAAAACTTCGAATGACTTAAATGGAATGGCCAGACAGAGTTTTGTAAATTAAAGATCAGTCTTCAATCAACCATGAAGGTAATAAATAATTAATTTCCTCCATGAATCAACAATCAACATTACAGGAGCATGAACAAGTTCCTTCCCGAGCGCATGTTTTTTCTTAGCCTAGTGAATATGCAGTGTATAATTTCAGGCCCGTATTTATAGTCAGGAACCCGACTGGAAAGCATGGCCTTCTTTAAAAACATTTGCCCCTGTTAAAATCTAACATGAACTAATCATTGAACTTAAATTTAATGTTTTTTTATTCAAAGAAATTGTCTGTAATCGTTGGAGCTGGGGCTAGAAGTGTGGCTTATGAAACCTTTACGTTCTGGGGCATAGAAGCACGAGGCCCACGGAGCCTTAGCTAAAGACTGGGGCTAATAACATGATATTTTTGATTCTTTGTTTTGAAAAGATACACAAGAAATGCATTGGAGAACGTCCAGAACTAAACGCGCAAACAATATCGCTCTAATTGAATCTATTGTTTTTACTTATTTTATATTTATTTTCCTGTTAACAACGCCTTGTAACTGTCGTGTATGCATGTATGTTATCATTAAGTTATAAATGTTATGGGATACAGTACTTGTTTTTGTTGATGTTTTATCATCTTAATTTCTATCTTATGATAATTATTTTGTTTAATTATGATTGCTTGGTTTTTAAAACCATTTTATTATTTTGTAGGTCTATTGTTAATTGACCGGATCACTATCTTTTGAGTACCGCCGCTCAAAGGTGAAGTATTGCCAGCTAAAAGGATAAATAGCGTAGGCCTACAGGCTATACTATATCTATTTACTTTAATTGGCAATGTGAATCAACTGTCAGTAAATTCCGTTCATCGCCTCGTAAAATGTCGACAGTTTCGTTTATTCAGTGTCGTCGCCGACTGGGCGTCATGGAAGCTATGGACATGAGAGTTGCTTTGTTGGGTGAAAAATTAATCACACAAAAAAATATTAATTGTCTTGAAATCGCCGAAACCGTTAACGAGAACATTTAAATATATAAATGTAGAACAATTGATTTGAATTCTATTGACTTTATACAAACACAAGTGAGAAGGATTTCTGAATGGATTGAATTCTACCGAGAATACCATACTGCACTTATAATAATAACACGCACGAACGTTCCAAATTTTAATAGTGGCATCAAAATAGTTTGTGAGAATAATTGACAGTCTGCTTAGGGTCAAATTCTTTAAACATAAGAAGTATATATGGTCGCCTTGACAACAGAATAATACTATCCAAATTATTTGGCTACCAAATGTATAAAGCCTTATCTTTTCCAGGACAGTTTTCATACAATCATGTTTACCATTATATGCGTGTACAGTATTATCAACACACGCACAAAAAAAAAAAAATCAAAAAAAAAAAATCCCAAAAATGATGGTTACCAATGCTGCTGTTCTCTGCGGCGTAAACGTGCAGTAGGCCCTATTCAGTTAAGTGTTAAAATGTTTATACATGATTTTACAGGTCCTTGACTTGAAAGTGAGTGACAAATAAGCGAAATCATTCAAGTTTGATGTTTATTCTATGTATGGGTCTTACTGTATAACCTGTCTCTTATACACATCTAGATGTGTATAAGAGAAACATTGTGGCCATTGAACCGGAATTTCATGAACTTTAATAACCATAAACACTTGGCTTAAGATAATTCGATCTCATGAAAATTATCAGTCTTTAAAAATCTATATAAGAAACGGAGAATTAATTGTTCAGACCGTTTCGTTGTCATTATTTATTTATTTAGAAACTACACTTATATATCAGTGGCACTCTTCAAAAGTAAGGTAAGAGGGAGAGCTGGCTCCCCACCCCCACCCGGGGAGAAAAACCACAATAGGAATATATATGTATTTTCTACATATTAGTAGACTTTAAAATCGATTAAATTAGTCTTTGAAACCTCTAAATTGTCTAAATAGGCTTTGCTCCCAAGAACTCGTTCCAAGAGATTTTGAGCGACTCCCGACCACGACCACCCTTTTGGTCGGGAACGTCCCCCCTCTCCCCCCACCCCCGTCTGGCAAATTCTGGCGCCACCCCTGGTGCTACGGTACCGCAGCTCAACAATGACGGCATCTCTTGATGACGTCTCCTAAGCTCCCCTGGTTGAAGCATATTGGTTGTGTGGTTCGCAGCCCGGTCAGGTGCATCCCTGTTTTATAACTTTCTTTCTTCATAGGCCTGTAATTTGGTATTAAACCTACATTTTCTTTTCAAAATATTTTTATTCGCACTGTTATCGGAACAAATAGCAACTAAAAGTAGTACAGGTAATTATGACACAGTATTTTGAAAACAACTTACAATGTAATACTAGGCCAATGTCGTTTTTTAAAGTTAAAAAGGGAAACGTTTTCTTTAAAATTTAATTTCTTTTAAATTGTGTGTTTTCTTAATTAGTAATTTTCAGAAAGCTGTCTGATATATTTTTAACTGATTAGGCCTCATAAAAAAAATTTATTAGTTTATCACCCGCTCCCTCATCAGTTTTGGGAAAATCATATATTTTTTTTTTCAATCAACATATATTTTTATTTCAAACGGTCCTTTTTCCATCTTTTTTCACTTGAAAAGCTCAGGGTTGCTTGCAAATATGTTTACTGGTACAACAAAAACATATTTTTTAAATATAAATTTGATTCCATTCTTATGACTTTTTATATATGTGTCCCTAACCATTGATTTACTTGTGATCATCGGTAAAACTGGGGCGGGATTAGCAAAAAAAAAATTAAAAAAACCTCCCTCCCTCATCAGTTTTTATGCTTTGATAGGGTGATAAACTAATAATTTTTTTATGGGGCCTTATACCATACCACAAATGTCAGAAATAAAGGAACTTTCTTTGGAGCCGGATATTTCTGTCTCTTGAATGTTCCCCATTTCGATTGCGTGGGAGACCCAGTTATTCGGATTTCGGATGGGTTGTCTAACTCCCTGATCATACATTGCAAAAACGTCGTGTATTCGAATTAAATCTAATCAAGTAAAACCGAACTTCTTTAAGCTCCTCTTAAAGAGCACACAAAACAGGGAGTTTAACAACTCTCTGGTATAATAACAATAATTAATCATACAGGTTACACTCACAATTACATACCTTTGATTTGCTTGTATAATTGTTGAGCACGTGACGTCATAGGAAGATCGTCTTCGTCAACCGCCCCTTGATGTACAGGTCGCTTGTAAATTATGTGCGGGTGGCGGGGATTCGATGCGAGGTCATGACCAAAAACAGGCTCGATAAGATATTGGCCACCATTGGTATGAATATAACCCCTCTAAAAATTTAAAAATAACAATAAATCTACAGTAGCCTACATTCAAACGACATATGAAAAACAATGACATATTTGTATGGGTCTTACTGTATAAGCGGTCTACCGGCCTGTGTAAAGGTCGTTTACTGTTAACATTCAATATCATATCATTAAATGTAAACACGTATATCATGTCTGCTTCCATAAACATTGGTTAATTCTCTTAAGATGACAAAGATTAGAGTGATCACGAACGCCGACACTTGGTAGCTAAATATCCCTTGGTTTGTGCTGAGACGTGATCCTCTCTATAAACCGGGCACCGCTTATACGGCAGTGGCGGATCAAGGAATTTGAAATAAAG